GGACTATAGGCGCCTGCCACCACAACCGGCTAGTTTTTTGATTTACTGTAGAGACAAGGTCTCCCCAAGTTACCCAGGCTGGTCTCAAACCCACGGGCTCAGGCAATCCACTTGCCTCGGCCTCCCAAAGTGCTGGGATTACAGGCTGAGCCAATAGCTATAATATTTTTTGAGTTTATTCACAGGAGTAAAAGCATAGTGTTCATTTCATTTTCCTTGATACATTTGATATGATTCTGCATGGGTAATTTTAGCAAAAAATAAAAAAAACCTACTTAAGTTAAATTTCAATTTAAAAAATATTTTATTAGAAGGTCAAAACAACCATCATTTACTAAAAGTCTTGTGAGGGTCAGTGAATTATTTTAATGCAACACAATGGGCCAAACATTGTAGCTTCTTTTCTGTTTTAAATCTCCATTACAAATAGCCCAATTTGGAATAGCCTGGCATATATCACCTCAACTATTTCTTGTCACCATTGTTGTCTTTATATTTATAATGTGAATACTTCAAATTTGAGGAAATTAAAAGTCACCATGAAATTTTATCTGATCGCCCCTATTTAAATTCAACTGAATTACAAGCCAGTTGAGGGTAGATAGGAAAATAGATGAAGTATTTGTGGGTTACCTCTTTTTGTATTTCCACATTATCTAGCACTGTGTGCCTTGGACAAGGGGTTTTAAGTGTTTATGATGTAGCTGAATATAGTTAGAGAGAATGTCAAGAGTATGTCTTTCTTTTTAAGGCAGAATTGCTTTTTATGTCCCCAAAGTAAGTATAAGCTCTCATCAGATGTTGGAAACTGAATATTGTGCCACTATGATTCTTTTGAAATGCTGAATGTCCAAAGGAAAGATTATAAAATTGTACCATTTAACAGAAGTTTTAAAGTGTGACATTAAATTGGGAACGATCTCACAGGTTGTCAGATGCTTTGGGTTACATATTGATTCATGAAACCTTGGGGTTTGTATTTGGGCTATTTTTTAAACTCAGTTCATGTTTTCAGTTGAGAAAAAAATATTAGGACTGAGAGTTCTGACATATTATCTCAGTTTATGTAATTCTTTGCATAATATAGTCTTGGTTATTGAAGTTTTCACCCACAGAATATTTCTGTTTCTGTAAAAAAAAGTCACATGAAAGAAGGGTTAAGTGTCTCTATCCTTTAAAATTATGACTTTGGGAGAAAGGTTTTAAAAGATTTGCTAATCATAATTCTATTGCGTCTTTACAGAGATACAGAATTAGGGCAAAAAAAAAAGCACTACAAAGATTTAGAAATGATTTCAGATATCATAAGTACATTAAGTTGAGACTTACCTAGATAAAACCCCTCCTTCCAAAGTTTTTAAAATTTTTGGTTTCCTTGGAGTCCATATGTGTATGTTTGTGAAGTGCATAAAACCATGTTTATAAAAACCTGAAATGGAGCGAAATCCCATTCTGAATGTCTGCAGTTATATGTATGCATCAAGGCAAAGGGAAATTATTTGGCAAATCCAAAATGACTATTCCATTTTGCTGAAGTAGGCCAACTAGGAACTGTTAAAGAAACACACACATATGCATATCCACCTACATGGGTTACACACACATATTAAACACATTTAATTATAGAATACATTTCTAATTTTCCTGTAGCAATAATAGCCATTCTCACAATCTTTGCGTTAGATTGCAGAGCATTAAAATGAGAATTTCAGGTAATCCACAAAATCAAAAAGTAAGAGACAGTCAAGATGACATTTATACATAAGAATTAAAATTTCAATCATAAAAGATATTTATGCCATAGACCACCAGCATGACTTAATTAACAGACATAGTTTTCTATCTTAGAGTTTGGTGAAAAGTCAATTAGAAATAGCAGAGCTGTTTCATGCTTAGTTTTCTAATTCTAAACTTAAAGTGTCTGATTAAAATAGACTGCAGAATAAGTGGAACAGAAAATTTCGTGATGTAAAGTATCCCCCAAATGAATGTTAGTTTACCGTATGTATATTTCAAATTCTTTAAGTTGTCGCAAACATTTCATGTAAATCGGGCTCCCCTGCCTGGGATCCAGTTCCTTGGCTTCAGTCAACTAAAGGCAGGACATTTTCCTAATCACTATCTCTAGATCAAATATTCCCTCTCAGTGCATCTGTTTCAAATGTTAATAAAGTTTTTGTTTCCAAAAGGTTCAAAATGACAGAACAAAATTCCCTCCTTTAAGAGTACAAAAAACGACTTCTGTTTCTGTCTGCAGGTAGTGGAGGACATACTAGAGGACGAGGAAGAAGAAGATGACAAAGATGACAAGGTAATTATCTTTCCCAGCACTTGGGTACCTGGGGATGGGGGAAATGTAGACATGACACTGTTTTCACAGACAGTTAAAAAGGAGTTGAAGTGTTTGAGTCCAGAAAATTGGACAGTGCTGTTTATCATCCTAACAATGCCACTGCATGTTGCAAAGAGGGAGAGAGGGCTATAAATCCTCTTCGCTTTTGTCCAGAGCTGGGTCAAATATTTTTCTGCCAGGAACAAAAAAAAATAATAATTCAGCTTGTCTGAAACTTGATAGCTCTCGTGAAGATAACAGCAGTGACGACTGTTTTTGAAGGGCAAAAATGTGTCCTATCTTGAGTATTACAAATCGGGCTATGCTTTGGGGATAGAAGGGAGTGAAAAAATAGCAGCCTGCATGAGTTGAACATGGATATTGTCATCTGTAATTTTCAAAGAACTGCTCAGCCAAAGGACACGCGTGTGCAGAGTGCTCCAGAGGACATTTAAATAACCTCAGTGCTCACTATCATTCCCTGGGTTTGAAATGACCCCGGGGTTCCTTGGTCAAGAAAGCCCTTTCAGAGAGGTTGTATTTTGATTCCTGATTGGCGTGGGGATGGTGACCACAGTAAATAACAGCTAGTTTCGGGGACTTCTTGGATTGGTTGTCCCCTAGAGAGAGGGGACAACTGAAGGTAGGAATTAGAATGACCTTGCACCACAGCAGCAGAGGCTGGAAAGTACCACTCTCTGTGGCAAAGAGGATAGTAAGTCTGTGACATCATCTCTAGGCATTTCCAGATCTAAAATCTAAAAAGTCCTAGGGTGAGGTCAAGAGGCGGGGAAGGGGCCATCATTAATTATTTCTACGTTGTTCAGTATATAAAACCAGATTTTGACCTTCACTAGATTCTATCTGACTTGGGTTACAGTAAAGCGATGACATTTTTTTGAAGAAAGGAGAAAAACAGTGTATCTTAATTTATGCCTATTTATGCCCTTGACCTTTGTTTCCAGCAGAGATGTAAAGTTAGATTCCAGTGTAAGAATTTGTGTGCTGGAAGTAAGCATTAGGAATGTCACATACAAAAATTCAGTGATTAGTTGGCCCCCCAGATGATTTTTTTCCTGACTAATATTTAATGCTCAAAGCAAAATGGAAACACACACACACACACACACACATACACATTTTTCCCCTCCTGATGCTATTTCAAACATTTCAAAATTGATAGAGCTTTTATGTGAAATTTTTCTTCTGTGCATCATTTAGTCATTAGCAATATCATCAAACATAAACTAACAAAATCTTCCTGCAAAAATACATATGTGCTTGTTTTTAATGTTAAATAACATGAGCATACACTTCTGGCAATAAATGATATGATTTATTGTTAAGGTCAGCTGCAGAGCCGTAGAGAGCTTGTATTTTAACTCAACATGCCAGCTCTGAATCATCATTTCTCTGCTGATAAACACTGAGCTGCCATCCATTTATGGCCATTTTCTCTTGCTTGTTGCTGCTTTATTATTAAAGCCACCATAAAGATCCATCCCAGCAGCAGGCGTTTCCCCAGAAATGTTAATAAATGGAAACCCTTAGCGAAGTCTAGTACTTCAATGTCCCTGCTTGAAGTCAACCCATATATTTTTAGCCCGTTTGTTGATATTCTATACTTCTAATCTCCCCTTTTTATGGTCATGTTTAATAGAGAGAATGTTAGGCGCGGGAAATAGACACACCTGGTTAACCAGCTCACCAAAACATAGATGTCAAGTGGAACATGCCAGGGTGGAAATAACACCAAATCTCTGGAGCAACATCTATTGTAATCTAGTGTTTGGTTGTCTGAAAGTGACACCCTGCTTCTAACACATTTTCAGATCTAGTTACCAAAGTTGATTGAAAGTGAGTGCTTAAATTACAGTGTGAGTTCAACTGTATTCTTCTACACAGGATGCCGACAAGCAATGTGCTTTCCATGTGAAAGGATCGTGAGCTGATTTGCTTAAATCCAACTCTTTATTTGAGTGATCTATAAGGAGATTTTTCTTTTTTACATAATGTGAGCGATAGCATAAAAATCGTATCTGAACAAACAAAAAATTTCACATGTAATTTGCAGTAGACTTTTACGTGCTTGCATAATAATAGAAGGAAGAATCTTAGAGTGGAAAATCGTGTCATACACAGATTTTACTATAAGAAATGAAAATCTGAAGGGATCCTATAAGTATTCATTGATCAGTTTCTATCTCTTGACTGGCATTCACAGCAGTCCTTGCTGTAAGTCTTGGCTATCAGTGTCTGAGTGGGAGAAGGGTAATTTCCTACTTTTAAAAATTCATTGGTTCCTCTACTTAAAGTCTGTGTATAAAGTCATGCATAATGGAACTTCATGAGAAAACAAATGTATTTTTTGCCATACGAGCAGGTACTGACCTCTAGCTCTCATTATTTCTCTGTTTTCTCATATGGTATAATAGTGGGGTCAGGTCAGTGGGTCCTCTTATAGGATAAAAGTAAAAAAGATTAATAAATGTGCCAAAGCCTCACTTTAATTGAGCCTGAAGCATGTGTGCAAGTATGTAAAATATGTCCCAGATGTTTCACCAGGGCTAGTGTCTTGGCTTTCCCTGATTACCACAAGGCAGCTATTAGTCCTATAACCTTTGGACTTGGGGGTAAATGGGGTATTAACGTGGCAGAGAATGAGAGCACCTGTTTTCCATTCAGCCAAGACCCCTGGCAGGCTTTGCCTAAGCCTGTCCATATGTTTTCACTTAGCAGATTGTTGGGCGATTATGAAAAGTGTCTTTCTTTAGAGCCAGCATTGATATTAGTCACTCACAATGAAAGGGCAAGTCATTGGCTACTTGACAAGGTCCGTGTGGGCATAAACTGAAGCCCTTGATTTCATTTGAGCTTGAAGTGTTTTCCCACAGGATAATTATATGCACGACAAAGACACAGGTAAAAGAAGTTGAAGCAGACAAAGATTACAATTACTTAACATAATAGCTTTGTAATAGCTTTTCTTTAGCGCTGACTCTAGCACCTGGGAAGACTTTGGTTAAAGTGGGTAGAAGCTAAATCATGATTTACTTGGATTCCCAGATTCGAAGTTCTTCCAGATTATGACTTTCTAAGTATTTTTTTTCCTTGAGTTCTTTCTTTTTATTAAAAGAGCTAATCATTATTCAGGTGAGGGTTTGCGATCCACAGACTTATCCTTCATTCTAAAATCCATTGTTCACATTTGCTTAAGTTTAAAATTAGGTGGCTTCTTTTTAAATCCAATTCCATGGTTTTCACAAAGGCAGAGAATATGAGTTTTAAATGGTGAGTCCTAGTTATGAATCATTGACTTGTTAATATTTTCACTTATCTGCATTATGTAGTAGCACCATGTTAAGCTGTGCTGGAGATGACATTTTTCCTGAATTAAACGTTAGAAAGACATCATACTGTGTTCTCAGTTTCCTTTATTGCAGAGCATTCACTCAAGTCACAGTTTGATCTGATTTTTGACCTGACACCAAATCCTGCCTTTGTGGTTGATAGAATATCTTAGCAAATAAGGCTTAGCTAAATTACCTGGGTGGAGCTATCAACAAGCCATAGCATAGTGTTTTTCACTATGTTACATACAATAATACAGTGGTCAGCCTGCGCAATCTAGACATCTAATTAATGAAGATCGGCTTTCCTTTTGTAGTTTAAAAAGTTTAGGCACGCTTCCCATGGTGCATCCTACCCTTGTAATAAGATCCAGCTGCGACATCAGGAAACAGAAGATAGGATGCAGGTTTTCCTCAGGAAAAGCATGTATTCAAATACATGGTATTCTCATAATGTTTATTGATAAATGATATTAAAATGTTCAGGCATTTATGCTGACATTGCTTCTGCTTTTTCTTCAACCGCTATGTCAAGGTTACTGTGTTTCTAGATAACTAGATGCAGTGAATGAAACATATCTGAGTTACTTCAAAATAAGCAGATTGTTTGCTTTGATTCTTGAAATCTGGGTTTTCTGGTTTGATCCTTCAGCCCTAACTAAACATGTATATTACATACCAAAGATTCATACATCTCTGCATCTCGGTCAACCATGGGGTGTGGGGAGGGGAGAGATAAGTGATATGAGAGAAGATTTTAATGCAACAAAATGGCATTTTCCAGTTATAGTCCATAAAATAATGGCATGGTAGGGGAAAAGACCAAGGCTTTGGAGAAAGACAAGAAGAGAGGAGAAAGAAAACAATTCTTTTAAAAAACATATGTCACATTCAATGAGAATACCATTATTTTAGTTTATTTGCTATTGCCACATAAAAAAATACCACAAACTTAGAGGCTTATAACAATTTCACTTATTTTGCTCTTATTTTGGTAGATCAGAAGTCCAGCACAGCTCAACTGTGCTCTCTGCTCAGGGTCTCACGCTCAAGTATCAGTTAGGCTGAGTTGTCATCTGAAGGCTTCGGAGAAGAATCCACTTCCAAGATCATTCAGGAAGCTGGTAGAATTCCGTTCCTTATATGAAGGGGGATTCAAAACAACCCAGAATTTATTTATTAAAAAACTGTGCATTTATTCTTACATGTTTAAACTTTAGTCACCTTCAAAGTGCTCTCTATTTGATGCAATACACCTATCAAGACACTTTTTCCAAAGCTCAAAACAGTTTTGAACTCATTTTGATGCCTGTTAGTGCTTCTGCCCTTTTTTGTTTCACGTCTTCTACACTGGCAAAACATTTCCGTTTGAGGACTTTTTTTTCATACAGGGAAACAAACAAACAAAAAGTTGCTTGGGGGGTAAGATTGGGTGAATAGGGAAGGAGGGGCAAAGGGATCATGCCATTTTTGGCCAAAAACTGCTGAACATTCAGCATGGTGGTGGGCAGGGGTGCTCGTAACATGAAAAGGGCATATGAATTGAAAGAATCTTCAGAAAAAACTTCACTGAAGTCAGACACAGCCTCTCACAACAACGCTAGCTGGTACACTGATGCCAATGGGTTC